TCATGTGACCATCGAACGGCTCAAAAGTCACTCGGAAGAATTGGGATTAAAGGCTGGGGCGGCGAGGCACCGTTTCGCTAGGTGCCCCGGAGCCAAGCCATTTCGCTGAAGCCTGGGGTAGGGTGGGGTCCTGCGCTGAGGAGTATGAAGGCAAAAGCAAGCTCAAGGTGAAAGCCACAGGCACCGGTGACCTGCCCCTCTCGGACGAAGAGATTGTCTTCGGGGGCCTCCGCAGCCAGACGGGGAAGTTCTTCTGCCTCATGTGTGACTCTGGCAGGGGTTCTTGTGTTCTTTATTTTCTGAGGGTTTCTATTGGTGCTTTGGACCTCTTTGGGAGGCTTACTGCCTGTTGAACCGTGCATTCTCCCATGCTTCAGAAATCCGGCCAGCCCCTCTGTACTGTCCGATTGGATGACTAACGTTATAACTATACAGTAGACTATAATAGATGAGGGGTGAGGTATGAGATGCAAGTTCTGATCCTGCAAGGCACCGGTGAACATGCCAATGGCCTTGCCAAGGGCCGGGCGGCCGCGCACAAGAACGCGGCCTTCAACGCGTTGGACGGCACCGTGGGTGAAGTCTGTGGCTTGTCGGTCGAGGAGTTCACGAGCAAGCTGAAGGAGCTCAAGGAGCTGGAGCCAAGGTGACCCGAGCTGAGTGCGTGATAGCCCCTCACACCATGTAGTTCCAAGATCCGAACACAGGGTAGGGAGCACAGTGCCGTGAACAGCGCCTCGCGTCATTTGGATGCAGGGGGCCGAGGATGAATAGGGATTGAGAGAATCTCTCCCTGGAGGTTTCAATTAGGGGAACGTTTCATCCTCCAGCCCACTCCGCCGTGGGCAGGCAAAGCCCCACTCCGGTTGGCACTCGGGTGCGGGGAGCATATGTGTCCTTCACCTCGGGGACGTCCGCAAAGAACAGGCACCTTTTGCGCGGAAAAGCGGAGCAGAGGCACTGGAGGAAGAGACCTCCAGCAGCCTGGAGCGCGGATCTGTGGGCGGAGTTGAGTCCTGAAAGTTCAGGGGTCCATTCAACTTGAGCTTCAACTTGGCAGTTGAATTCCGAAGAGGGGGTCCATTCAGCAGCCACTGACATCCACTTGAGCTTCCCCATTTTTGCTCTCAAACAAGTGACAGGGTGCTTGCGACCAGTGCTGCGCAGGTGGTAGAACAAGGCGGTGACAGGGACCGCTCCCCCGTTTCGGCGGTGAACCACCGCGTGAACCTAGGACCGCCGGTGTCTCACTGGTTTTGAATTCTTCCTTCACCGCAGCTGTAGATTCAACATGAGAAAGCAGAAGTCGATACAGGCCAGGAACCATGGGAAAGCGGCTAAGGAACCACTATATAAGAGGCTTGTGAACCAACCAGGACAGAACCACATGGAACTCATCATGGACACCACCGAACTTCGACGTGGGACGGTGGATGTACTGCCCCGCCCAACAACTCCGGTGTCGACCAAGCAAGCCGTTCCGGTGTCGAAGGGGCAAGACGTTCGAACACCGTTTTTTTCATTTTCATTTCGTGACCATTTCCCAAAAGCATCCGAAAACCTATCATTCACCTTGAACTCGAACACCATATCCGACATGTTCACTGTTTCCTTCGTTTTTTACCATCGATCCAGACATGTTTCTTGCAAGTATGACAAAAACCTCCCCCAGCCACTTGACATTCTGACGAAATTTTCTCACCAAAAACACGGTCCCACCCACCACGGCCATGGACGAGCGCCGGCGCCTGCTGCTGGTGGGGGACGTGGAGGGTGGCCTGGCGAAGCTCTACAGCCAGGCCGCGAGGGAACGCGAGGCCAACGGCGGGAGGCGAACTGCAAGGTTTCCACTGCTTGCAGCTTCAAAGAACATACCCAGACACTCCATGTATGGTATACATTGGGGTGGTTTGAGGGGTCAATGTAGGTAAATATGCCAGTTTTATGGAGTGTCTGGGGTAACACTTAGAAAAGTTTCGATACATGATGATAAATGGTACGTGTTTTTGTTTTCCCATTTGCTTGCGGGTTTGCTTTGGGTCCGTGTAGGGTCGGGATTTTTTCGGAGGACCGTTGCGGGATGCCGTCGAGAGACCATGACCCAATCTCTGTGAATGATGACCGGACCATCCCTGATCTGCAGTGCACGAACGGTATCAGGGGAACGATCGGCGGGGGCAGGCTCCATGGCTGTTGAAAGGGGAAGATGTTGGGCAAATCGCTCTTTTTGAAGAAGGCCTGCAACCTAACCATCATCATCCACAGTGGCCTGGTAGGATAGATGATAGATGGACCCAAGAAATATGGATAGCTCCAGGTGACCCTGTGGCTTTCCTTCACTTCTAACGCTGCTCTCAGGAGCTCGCGGTCGAAAAACGCGGATTCGTCGCGGGCTGACGTGGCCATCGGATCAGCTATCAGCTATCAAGCTCAAGCCATTGGCAACAGCAGATTGGCATTTTGCACGAAATCATCCGTCATATTCCCATGTTGGCAACACTAACCACACTTCGCCGAAAAGACATCAGGCATTTCAGAACGAAGTGATCAAACATTTCAATACATTTCACACAAAAGTGATCCACCATACCCCCCCCACCAGAAACCAAACGAGCCTCACGTACGTTCATGGCATCGCGGTCGTCACACGTCCTCCGCTCGTCACACGCCCCAGTCGGATCCACGTACCCTCTGAGGTAGGGTCAGGTACGGTGATGTGTTCGACACCGACACCTTTTTCTCGGTGCCCAGTCGGGTGTCGTCGGTGCTGAACCAGGTTAGGTGACCTCGAATTGTTCCGTGCCGAACTCGTGCCCTGTTTCAGCTCCAGCTCCCTCGGGCCATGTTGAAGCTGCACTTCTCCGTGACGGAGGATGAGGCCACGCTCTTAACGGTGATGACCACGGGCCTGGCCACGGAGGTGGAGGTGCCGCGGGGCAAGGACCGGAGCTGAGATGATCGCCACAGGGATTCCAGCGGCTGATGCCTGTGCCAAGGGACACCCATTTATTTTCGGGCAGATGCATGGGGAGAGAGAGAGGGAGAGACAGACAGAGACAGACAGACAGACGGACAGAGACAGACAGACAGACAGACGGACAGAGAGACAGAGAGAGAGAGAGAGAGAGGGAGAGAGGGAGAGAGCGGGGTGGGTGGGAGGGGAGAGAACGGGCTGTTACAGGTGGTAGATTCTTGGACTACATTTGATCCTCGACTGTGGAAAGCCCGGCCTTCCTTCGCAGGACGTGGGCTTTGCCAAGAACCGCGCCATTGACAAGCTGTCGGAGGTCTCAGCTGCGGAGGACGCTGGGGGATTGGACAGCTCGGATGTGAAGTGGAAGGTCGACTCAGCCCCGGTCCAGCTCGGGATGATGTGAACATAATAATACAGAAACAAACGCAATGAACAACACATGAAAAATATGGAAAAACAATCCTCAGAATAGGAAAGCCTCAGAAAGAACCATATTTCATTATGATATCCCTGGAAGTCCAAGACCATGAACAAAATGGTCAGTCGGTGACCCGAAAGAGTTTCCTTTACGTCGGTGGCGCCAGAAATAGTCTTTGGACTTCTAGCGTGCATATATATATATATAAACATATTCCAGCCGGTGGAATTCCAGCCCTAGGGATCCAAGTACCTTCTTAGAAGGTGATTGGAGGGCCCAGTAGAAGGGGCATGGATTCCATGCATCACAGCTCCGAGTTCACGGCTTTTTGGACGCTGAGGTGGCCCAGCATCCCCTTCTGCCACGCGGTGGCAGCGTGCCTCGGATCAGGCGAACCCAAGAGGAAAGAGGTCGAGCGGACCCAGAACTTGGTAGGAGAAAATGGAGAAAACCTATCGATCCACTGCCATCTTCTCAGGTCATTGGACCCCTCCGCGCGCGCCCACCGTTTCCTAGTCTCCCACCGTACCTCAGGTTCGGTATGTGGATCCGGGAAACTGGGTGGTTTCCCTGAACCCGACCTTAGGCCGGCCTAAAGGCCGGAGGACACACCTTGTTTCAAGCGAAGACACCAACTGGGCCAGAAGCATGTAGAAGTTCCATGACCTTGAGTGGATCTCATTAGCAAGTCGTGCAGTTTGGTGTTATGTCAAATGGCGAGGTATGTCTGCTGCCTCCAGACTTCCACCGAGCCTCATGACTTGTCCATGACCAGAGCCGCTGCCAACGGTGCTCGTCTTGGATTCTCTGTTTTCATGTCCGCAACCTCCCAGGCTCTCCAATCTTCGCATCTTCGACGACCAGGGCGAGGAGCTCAACGACGGCGACGCCTGCAGCGCCCTCTCCGAGGGGCAGCACCTGCGGCTGAGCGCGGCGCCGCCCGGGCCGCGCGGGGTGTCCGCCGGGCCCGTGAGCGCTGGGGCGCAGGTGTTCGCCAGCACGGTGAGCGCGGTGGGGCGGCACAAGCTAGGCCTGGATGCGGCCGGGTGCGGGGCTCCTAGTGAGGAAGTGTCAGTGGCGTTCCGATCGGTGCGTTCCGCGCGGGCGATGCGTCTGGCGTTTTGACGGGTGGTGCCAGGGGGTGAAAGGTCGTGCCACCTTCGAACTGCCTCGATGTCGTGTCCTGTCCTGCCCTGACCTCCCTTCGCTCGAGGCCGGATTCCCGGGAGGAGTTGATGAAGCTACCCTTGAAGGAGCTCAAGGCGGCCGCTTCCGGCATCGGAGCTCTCACCATCGCCGCGGGACCGCGGTTGGAGTGATTTAGGATGATTTAGGGACTGGAGGGGGGGGGTCGTGAAGACTCACCGTGAAGATGTGCGGATGTAGGTGGGCGTTCAGTTTGACATGGACATGTCTAGCTCAGGAACCAGGAGAGTTGAATGCTTCCAAAAACGCTTGAGATTGGACTCCCTGGGAGGAGTGCAACCGAACAATGGCAGTTGAATCTGTTAACATACTGCATATTATGATGATATTATGATGATACAACTGATGAAACTCAACAAACCATCTTAACCCTCAGGCTTGAACAGGTAAGGCACTTGGCTTTCAGAAGGCTTTTCTCCTCCAGACACCGTTCCTCGAGGCGCGGCTGGCGGCCAGTGGCTTATCCGCTGAGGGTTGTTTGGAGAAAGCCGATCTGGTGGACCGGCTTTTGCCGAAAGCCTAAGCGAAAAGAAGGGGTGCCGGGTGCCGGTGCAGGGGTAGGGTTCCGTCAGGGGCGCGGCGCCGAAAAGCTCTCTGGTTTTTCTTTTTGCGGTTCGGTGAAGGTGAAGGAAGGAAGGGCGGTGGGTTGCTTTTGTGGGTTGTGACTCGTTCTATCAGGTTCTGTGGTGGGACGAGCTGGGTCTCGAGTGATTTCATGATGATTTCATGCGAGCGACCGCCTTTTTCAGGTCTTTGAACACCCAACCACCGCCGATGACAGCGGACTAGCCGCCTGCGCTCCGGTGCCACAGGTGGAGACGCAGCAGAAGAAGGTCGGCGCCTTCAATGCGCTCTTCGCTGTGGGCGCGCTCTTGGGCCTCAAAAAGTGGGAAAGTGGGAGGTACTTGGCAATCGTCATGGGGAATCCTAAGATGATCCCAGTCCTCTTCAGGTATAAGTATTATCAATTTACATCCAACCGGGATCAACCGGTGTACTTTTGGCCAGGCAGGGTAGCTCAAACTCATTTAGCCAAATCCATGTCGCCTCAAGAAACCTGACACCACCTGTGGTTGCCAGTGCGAGGGTGGGCCGTCTCCAAAGCTTCAAATCTTTTCTTTTTTCATTCGATGCGATTCAACACTAAGATGTCACGAAAGGTAGCCCTTTAGGGGATTACCTTGAGTTTGTCTTGCGAAGCAAGTGTTGGCGCGTCCGGGTCTAATAATTGATCATTCAATTCAACCCCCCCCCCCTCGAATTGTTTTTTCAAAACAGACCCCCCCCCCTTAAATTCAATTCTCTCCTGGAGAACGTCTTCGTGAGCCTCATGATTTCAGGAGAGTTGAAACATGTTGAAACCCTCTTGAACATTCAGAAAGAGTGCATATGAAATTCTAATCACGAAAGGTGTTCCTCGAGGGGATACATACCTAGAGTTTGTTTTGTGAAGCACGTCAATTCTCTCCTGGGGAACGTCTTAGTGAGCCTCTTATGGTTTCAGGATAGTTCCAATCCCATGATGCTCCGATTCAATGCTCACCGATGATCTGAGCCATGGGGCAAGTTTGTTTTCCTAAGAACCTTTTTCAACATTTCGAGAGCATATGTTTGAACATTTAGAGTGCATATGAATATATATATATATATATTTACGAAAGGTCGCCTCCGAGGGGATAAATCACCATGTCAAACATTGCATTTTTGTTCTTGCCTCTCGCGTTCTCTTCTCTTCCCGCTGTCCTACCTTTCGTGTCTCCCTCCTCTCAAGTTGGATATGAGTTATTTTTCTCTTTTGGGCAGGTCCCGATGTTCGAACTTCTTCAGACCTTAGGCCGGTCTACTCAGTCTACTCACTCCTCACCTGTCCTTAGGTTCTTGCCCGCCCTGGGCGACAGCGAGGCGGGCGACCTCGGAACAGGGAACGTTCGTCCCTTCGACTGAACGGGGCCCAGCGTGGAAAGGAAACGACTGAAGCATCGGCCTCGAGTGGTGGAACAGATGGTCCGATCTGTTGTGACATCCGCTTCCCGTCCTGTACAGGACGCTGTACATTACTGTAATGTTGACCTTTGATGAATAAATGGGGGTGGCAAATCTTGAAAGTTTGGTCGACCCTAAATAAAGTATATTTCCACGTTCCAAGAAAGAATCTTAATTAGAAATGACATGATCCCTTACTAAAACAAATGTTAAAATGAAAGGGAAGAGAGAATTTAACTTAGAAATGACATGACCCCTTATTAAAATTATTAATAGCATCAAGGGGAATTAGCATTCAAATTAGAATTGAATTGGAATTGAATTTGAAGCAAACTTAAATTCAATTGTACTTGAATTGAATTAGAATTGAATTTAGGTTCAATTGAATTGGAATTGACTTTGAATTAAATCTAAATCCAATTGAATTGAAATTTCATTTGAATTGAATTAGAATTGAATTGGCTAACTTTATTTCGGATCCCTTTATTAATCAGATCGAGGTCAACATTATGTATAGCACATGGACCCGTCACATCCGGACGTTCGAGTGACATTCGATCGACCCATTGCTCTCACCCTAAACAGGTCCGTACCCGACCCAACTGGGCTCCCGGCATCGACCGAACTGGGCTCCCGGCCTTTCATCGACTCCTCCCAGTCTGGCGCCGTCTTGGCCGAATTCGTGTCCGGCACGCGGAAGGCGCGGTGCGGTCGCGGGCCGCTGGTGCGGTCGGATCGTGAGGAGTCGGAGGTTGTGAAGGAGCGGGAAGGCTCCACTCCCTGGGAATCCTCTGTAGGCCCTAGGGCTGCAAGTACCTGAGGGTGGGACTGGGGTGGGTTATATAAAGGGTCCAAAGACCTTTTGAGGGGGTGCAGTCCAGGGAGTGCGGATGCTCACCCATTGCCTGGAGGAGTTCTAATTCGAATGCACACCCATGGAGCTATCAGATCAGCCTTTTCTGGGGAGTTCTGCCGGGATAGGGTTTGAGCCAGCTCCTGAAGGAATACAACCCAGTCCGACTGCGTCGCGCGCTGCGGTCCCCTCTTTGGCTAGAATGGAGGTGTGGCACACTGGCACTATCCAAAAGAGTGACAGGAAACTCATTCAAGTGGAGGTGCCCCACCAAAGATTCGGCAAAAACCATGCCGCAGTGCTCCTCCTTTTGCTCTTCCTTGCCGTGTTGTGACGAATCCCGGGATCAAGCAAAGCTGCAACCAAGGGTTACTCCACTCAAATCAATAGGTGGGTGGGTCGGTGGGCATAGGTTGAGAATCCTTGGATCTTGCATGGCAGGGGTCGGACTCGACACTGGCAGGGGTGCGGATCCTCCAAATCCTTTCCATTCCCTTGCGCTCCATGCATGGAATATTTTGCGCTCCATGTGGGGTGATTGAAAGATATGTTCAGGGTCAATGGTTTGGGATTGGTTTTGGCCCGGATTCTTATGGACTCTCCAAGCTTGGCGCTTGGAAGCAGGTGCCGATTGAGACCTTCTTCATCGACAGCAGAAGTGCAGCCTTCCTGCAGGCGTACACGCGCGCGTCAAGGAACGACTGGGTCATATTGTGGCTGAGTCACGGCGGTCGGTTCTCTAAGGTAAGCATCCCCAAGATGAAGAAAAAACGGCCTACAAGACTTGTAATGTGTTTGGGTGGCATGTTTCACAGTCTTGGGCGGCCCTCATTCCCCTGTGCGAGCCAACTTTGTAGCATTTTGTAGCTGCTTCTTCGTAATAGCAGGTCTGCCAACATGCTGCGAATAGTTCAAAGTTAGTTGGGTTCTCTCTTGACCTTGATATTGATTGCCCTAAGAGCTGCTACTACTCAAAGCTGCGAGAGACACCGGACCCGACACCGCCGTGAGGCTGCTCCCGAAGGGAAACAGCTGTGTGAGCCGGGGGCCCAAATGAGGCCACAGATGTGTACCAACGATCGATTTCGTACGATCTTCACAGATCACCCTAAGACTATAGTGGTCCCCAACAGATCGATGGCACGGTTTCCAAGACATTCTGAGTGGGGTATGGACTTTTCTCTCCAGCTTGTGTCGGATACAAGTGCCTGACCCCGCTCTGGTTAACAGCTCCCCCCCTCCACGCTCTGATGTTCCGGTCCCGACTTCGGAGGTTCCGGGCCCACCGGAACGCTCCAAAAGCCGCCACTTCCCCCCGACTCCACTCCCCCCCCCAAAGAAAGAAAACACCGTCCTCTGGTCTCCGGCACCCAAACCATCGCCCCAACGGTTCGGTGCTGACCGCCCCGCCCCGGAACCGCCACACCCGTCCTAGTCCTCGGGATCCTCCGGGTCTGACCGGCTCCAGGGGTCGTGGGGGTCAGGAAGATCCATTTCCTCGGCGGCCTCGGGGTGCGGGAGCTCCACGGCTTGCGCGTCGCCTACCTCTCCGGGTGCCCTCCCCCGCCCGCGGCGCGGGGGTCGGGACGGGTCGGGACGGGTCGGGCTCAGCGAGCGTCTCCGGTGGGGGCGTGGAGAGGGGTGGAGGCTCCTGACCGGGAAGAGTGTCGAGGTGGTCCCTGATTGGGGAGGTCGGTTTGGAAGAGTTGGAGCGCTCCCTGGAGTCGATCCGACCTAGTAGGCCTAGCAACGAAGCCGGAGACAAGGAGCTCATGAAGTGAGGTGGGGCTGAGATTTGGCAAGGTTGTGCAGTTCATTCTGACTTCGATCAAGGGTGAAGTCGATGGTCAAGTCATTGAGATCACCTGATTTGATTGGGCCAACCAGCTTCCACAATGGTTGACCGGATTTGGGTGGATTTCGCAGTGCTGGGAGCGGTTTGTCTGGATTGATTGTTTAATGTTGTTTGCGACTTGGATGTCAATCATCAGCTCAGGCTCAAGCTCTGACACAAGTGAGGCAGCTGGTCTCCGAGCTAGACCAAGCTAGTCAGAGTTTTGGCCTCAAAATAGCCCTTGGCAGCCAAAGGGACGCTGCTAAAGAAGATGCTTTCCACTCCTAACCTAGTGATGCCCAGTGGTTGAGCCAGCCCACTTTTAGCCGAGTCTCAGGAAGTTCTTCTGTGTGGGCCAGCGGTTTTGTGAAACTTCTTGTGTTTGCAAGGTCCACACCAAGCTTATGGGTGGGGCAACCTACCTTTTGGTGAAAGTGTGACACTTTTTCCGGGTTGGGCCCATTAATATAGCCAACCTTGGAACCCGCTGTCCGAGTCGCATCCGACTGTAGCTACGACCTGGGACGGTGAGTGGGAGCTGCCAAGCCACACAGTCAGATGCAACAGATCTTGGAGGCGATCATTTTGCCCTGCAGACCATCCCCATCACTTGGGGGGGTTGAACTTCAATAGAAAGACACCCCCCGAAGCCAAACCTCGGCCGCTGCCATGGCAGAACTTGGGCGAACCTGGGTCCATGTTCGATGCTGAAGCCGGCGCCCTACATGTTGCCACTCCTGCGACCGCCCGTCCGAGCTCTCGCGGTCCGAGGGGCCGCGCTGTCCAGCGGCCTACGGCGGCCTCGCGCAGTTCCTTCATGGGTACCGCAGGCGCCTATGGTCTCACAAGGCACCAAGGGTTCCAGCTTGAGGTGGTCACATCATGTAACATCATAAGATCCACAAGGAAGAAGACCGAGTCAGTAGAATCCCTACCGAGTTTCCTTTTTTTAATGCCATTGACCTTGAGCATCAGCTGCGGATGACGTTCTTGGTACTAGCCGCGAAGACCCAACATTATGACACACACACACACGAAACCCACCAAACCCATTCCCAGACACTCCATGGGACTGCCAGTCCGGACTGCCTTCAAAACGGCCAGGGGTGGTTAACTGGGGGTCTGGCTTGATCGGCAGTCCGTCATGCCAGTCCCAGGTCCAGGTTGTGTCTGGGATTGAGAAGGTCCTTTGACCACCCTGGAGCCGTGACTTCCATGAACTTCGGCCGTTCGATCCGCGGTGACTTCGTCCAGATGCGGAGCTCACGTCTTCTCTCTTCCGCCCCCGCGGCCGTCCGGACGCACCGCAGTGGCTGTCCAAGGCCTGGCCATGGGTCCGGTGCTTCTCCTCTCGGGGGACATCGTCACGCTTGGGGCTGGCCGTGGCGGTGATGGGACGCCGCTGGGCAGTGTCCGTGCACCGCACGGCTGGGTCGAGGGCCATGCGTGCCGGGCGCGGTGGCACAGAGGGCGGTAGCACATGACGTTGCAAGCAAATTAATGGTGGAATAACATAAAAGATAAGAGACACATAGGAAATTGCCAAATTAATTAAGATATTTTATAATGCAATTTCCTATATTTTATTATTATATTACTTATTTGGGGATGCATTATATTATATTATTTTGGCCTCCTATGCATCCCCAATATATAGAGAGATTAATATATTATTGTGGCTTCCAATATTAAAAGATAGATTAATGCCATAGGTAAACGTGGGAAGCCACAATAGATAATAAAAATAAGCTTATGAAGGGATTTCGCGGTGACTGTAAGATTAACTCCTAGAGACAGATGGGCCCGACCACGACTCACGAACCATCCATAAACCGTTCCATCGTGAGTCGACATAGAGGGTACAGCCCTCGCAGCCTAGCACTTCCAATGGTGCCCCATGGAGGCCCTGCAAGTCAGGTAGGGTAGTCTATTGGACACCCATTGGATGACCCTGGGGCTGGTTTTTCTATTGGTGGGGTGACCCCCAGGGTCCCAACGACCCTGTGAGCACCTGCCTTGCCATGGAGTCCCATCCGCCCCCCCCCCCAGCTACCCCGGAAGCGCTTTTTGGGGGGTCCTGGAGTCGGCAGGAGCTACAAATAGGGGGTTCTTGGTTTGAAGGCAGTGCCTTAGGTTCGGGGTCTCGAATGGAATGCCCTAGCCGCCCTAGCCTATACCCTAGACTTCCAAGACCATTAAAAACATGGGAACGACCTGGTTTTTGTGGTGTAAAATCCTTAGTTGATTCGGGATTCAGCCTATTAAATTGATGGTTCTTGGAAGCCTAGGGTATACATCACGTAATTCGTGGGTCTCCGACACTCCGAAGGTCCAGGGGGGGAAGTTCTCTGTGTCAATCGCCCGAGGTTTGGGCCTCTGGAAGCGCCTCACCAGCCGTAGGGGTCGGATGGGCAGAGCTGCGAGCGCCAGTGACCTGGGTCACTCGGATGGGGGAGAGAACGAAGGACGAAGGTGGCCGAGAAAGGGGTGGCTTTGGGAGGCTTTTCTTGGGAGTGTCCGCTTAGGACCGCGTCCTTCTTTTTTCAGGGTCTTTGGCGGTGAAGGATGGACGATGCGCAACACCATAGCGGCATAACTCTTTCCGACTCGGAGGGGATTCTCGTTCAACGGGCGACCGGTGACCAGGTGGACCAGGTCGACCAGGTGGTGGCCGTGTTGGGGCCGAGCAGGACCGTGGTTCGTTCACCCCATGTCCTTCGTGCGAAAAGGCCATGGGGAGTCAACATGACTCGGTATCGGTGGTAGACATGATGGCCGGGTAGATTCCAGAAGTCACACGGTATCACAACAGTTGGATTTCACTATTATCTTCACCTTCCCATTTTGGTGACCCCACTCCCTTGCAGAAAGCGGAGAGGGATTTTGTCCAGTCTTCTTTTGTTCTTGTTTCTTCATCCGTGGCTCCTTGGCATTTTTTGGGGTCCTGGTGGAAGGGAGGGAGGAAGCCACTTAGAGCAGGAAGGAACCAGTTCATGTTCGTTCCATTGCCTTGCAATTCGGTTTTATTCTCCTTGGACACCCTTGCTCTAAGAACCACAGAAAACAATGCAACAGACGATTTCTGGGCCCCTGAAGCCCACATTCGCTGAATCCTCCACTCTGGCACCAGCTGGCACGGTGTTGGTGTTGAACTTCAGGTGTGGACATCACTCAAGAGGAGGTCGAACTGACCTCGCACTATGGACGTTTGGAACTCATCGCGTTGACCCCGGCGGCGGTGCGGCGGGCGGAGCGCGTGCCGACGGTGCTGGTGAATGTGGGATGCTACTACACGCTGGCGGACGCCTGGCAAGAGCAGGATGGATCGAGGGTCGAAGGAGAACATGGCTGAAAGAGGATTGATGCAGACTTGATTGTCCTACAAGACCTTGTTTAGAAGACCCCACTGGGATGTGCAAGGACTTGCAGGGTCTCGTGCATAGATGGAGGATGGCAATGGAGGAAATTCTAGGCCATCCCCCATGTTCCTTTCAGCACCTCCAGATCTTCCGTCCTCACCTCCAATGATCAGTACCTCGAAGCTGACGTGGTGGCAGCATGGCCACCTCCTTCCCCCGGATCTGTCGCTCCTGTGGGGAGCCCAGGGCTCCGTCCAGGTGGTCCGGTCCCAGGGCTCCAGCAAGGGAAGAGTGCCCACCTCGTGCCCACCCCAGACACCCCAGAGAGAGGGAAAGGAGTGTTTCTTTAGGTTTTTTGCTGTTTTTGATGTCTTCCACGTGATTTTGCTGCATGTTTTTATGCCAAGTAACGACTCACGACCCTTCCAGAATCCCATATGGTGTTTGGGCTTGGCCATCGCCGGCCGAGACGCTGGCGTCTTCCGCTTCCTCCACCCGGACCACGCCCGCGCCTCCTGAGGACACCTTGGTGGCGGTCGAGGGCCCGCGATACGTGGCGCAGGGCTATGCCTACGTGTTATGGCGGGCCTCAGGGCCTTTGGAAGAGGTTGCGGATCTGGTCTTCCAACGCTGGCGTGCGGATGCGGCCGTGGTGTTGGATTGGCTGGGCCAGCAAAGTTGGTGTGACTGGGAGATCAGGGGTAGTAGGGCTTGAAAGAAATCAGGCACATCGATACCGATTCCAACCGCCATTGGTTTTAGAGCCTCTATCGATCAATCATGGTTTTGCAACTGGCACAACCTGCTCAACCTTTCCTTTCGTGGTCTTGCAAGGCTATGGGATGGTGTGTCCAACAGTCATGTGGAACCTCTAGCCAATGTGTGCTTTTCCACAGCTGTCACCTTACCCGAAAAGCGCTTTTTCATGCTGTTTGTAAGATTCGTAAGAGGATACACTCATGTTATGTCATGCTCATGTCGACCGAATGTGATAGAATGAACATGAATTGAAGGACCCCTTCAAACCTCAAAGTATGTGATCTCGATGACTCCAGATATTCTCTACTTTTTGAGTCTCGGCGAATGGGGAGTACCCTGGGGGCAGGGCGCATCTTCGATGCGATGGATGCCTCGTACTCAGGATGATTAACCGTTCAGCAGCCCAACATTGGAGTACCCATCATGCATATTCAGGACATATCTATATTCCATGGTCTTTTCCAGTGCTTCCCACCAGTGGCACCACTGGCCTCCTTAGGTGATGGCCGGGTGGGCTGCCATGGCTACAGTTTGCTGGGCAACACCTCCTACGCCACACTGGCGGCGTCGCATGCGCCCGACGCTCCCGCCGAGCGTCCCCTGGTGCGTGCCGCGGTGCCTGCCATCTCCTTCTCACGCATTCAGCTGCTCGGGTGAAGATCTGGAAGACGTCTCCGGGTTTCAAGTGTGAGAACGGAACCTTTGGTGTCACATGAGAACGCAGCAAAAGGAGTGTCATGAAAGATCACTTGCTTATATAATACGTTTGTGCATTTAGTTGTGTGTATAGCTTCTTTTTTTTCTCACACAAGTACCAAAGTCATAGGGGCCTGCCAAAACGACGTTTGAACACCAGTGATGAGTGGAAAAGTCGACAAACTTTGATGAATTTTGGTCGATCGGCGCTTCTTCAAAAGATCTCACTGCCCTCAGCGAAGGCCCACGGTCTTCGTGCGGGGCCAAAGCCTTGCCGCTGAGCTGGCATTGCGCTTCCTATGGCTCGCCGAGAAGGGCCTCTGCCAGGCTGCCTCCGCCGCCGCCGTCCCCGTCGCCGGCGTTCTGGCAATCGGAATCAGGACTCCTCAGGCAGTGGCAGTGGTTGGCTAACCCAAGGAGGCAGTGGCTTCGGGTTTGCAGGTGGGAAAATGTGGAAGAGAGGGAGGTTCTTAGCCCAGATCCAATTTGAGTTACACTCCCGAAAACTAACATAGACCCTGACAAGGGCCCCCTGGAAGAGTGTTTGCCTCTACCAACCAGTGGTTTTCAGGGTCTATGTTAGTCTTCCAGGGTGTAGGCCCCACCACCGGTGTAGCTGTGCGACCCCCGTCTCTGGCCACCCGGGTGTCGACCACGAACTCCAGGGGCGTCTCACCGGCTTCAGCTACATTTGGAACATGCAGCTTGGGGCGAGATGTTGGCACAGCGAACGGGTTCGAAGGGTCTTTGGGCTTGCTGGATGGTACTTTCCTGCCACGGCGGGAAACGATGCCAGAGATTGCAAGGGGAACGTAAGAACGTTGTGGAACTATAGAGGTTGAATCACACGCATTTGGCAGAGCTCATTCGTAACTGTCTTCTGTGTGCAGCGTGTTTGACTCTCTAGTCACTACCCCGCAATGCGTCGTCCCCCTTTTTGCAGCGCAAAACCTGGGTCAGTGGTGGTGAGCCCCTCATGAACTCCGACCCCGGGGCGGCAGGTTAGTATAGAACTTCACCTACAAGGTCAGTAGACTAAAAGGCCCATCTTATTTGTTCTGGAAGCTTCTCCGAGGCAGGTCATTGTTTGCAACCCGTCGACTGGGCAGTGGCTGGTAGTGAATGTTCGATGACGAACACGTGGGTAGAAGTGTTGGCATGTTTTTCAACCGGTCTGTGAGTTGCATTTGGCAGCTGTAGTGAGTGGCCCCCCACTACTAGTAGACCACAAGCAGCTGAGAACAGCACTTGCTTGTTTCACAGCTCCTTGCTGGGTGCGAACTTCTTGATTTTTTCTTCCATTGTTGCTTGTGGTGACTCAAGTCCTTGCAGTGGATGTTTCAGAACAATCCTATGCAGTACTAGCTGCTAGCTCCGATGGAGAGAGACACAGGAGACTCCTTTGCATGGAGTTGGTTTTTAGAGTTCCAACCTCCTTCAAACCCATCGCTTTCAGCCATCCTTCGAACATCGTAGAATCGTGATTGGGCAATTTCGCCATGATGTCAGTCCGTGCCTGGTTTGCCTGTGTGTCTTTGGTGTCCTCCGTGCGCCAGCAGGACAGGTGGGCTTTCATTGGCTTAATTGGTCGAGTGACTGTCATTTCATGTTGTGGGTCATGGGCAGCACCAGATAGTTTTGCCCCCTGAGCTGTCTGAAGGACATCATCCTGGACATTCTCCGAACGCTTGGCATGCCAAAGAAGCAAGCTGAGAACATGGCGAAGGACCCATGCAACGCGCCCGGGTTGACTTGCAATTTCAATGGTGCGGTCTATGCTGTTTATTTGGATGGCCATGATTTGCGCGGACACCTCCCTCAGCAGCTCAACCAGCTCCACTCCCTGTGGATACTGTCCCTTGCCCACAACCAGCTGAGTGGCGAAATTCCCAAGGAACTCAGCCAACTCGATTTACTGCAATATTTGGACCTTTCCCACAACCAGCTGAGTGGCAAAATTCCCGAGGAGCTCAGCCAGCTCCACTCACTCAACCTTGCCCACAACCAGCTGAGTGGTGAAATTCCCAAGGAGCTCAGCCAGCTCCATTTACTGCAATTTTTGGACCTTTCCCAAAACCAGCTAAGTGGCAAAATTCCCGAGGAGCTCAGCCAGCTCCAGTCACTGCAGACACTGTACCTTGCACGAAACCAACTGAGTGGTGAAATGCCCCAGAACCTCAGCCAGCTCCAGTCACTGCAACATCTAGACCTTTCTGAAAACCAGCTGAGTGGCAGAATTGCCAAGGAGCTCAGCCAGCTCCAGTCACTGCAGACACTATACCTTGCC